GCTGGTCTCTAGGTTGAGCTCTCAAAAAGCCGAAGTGAGATGGAGCTTGGAGTTCCAGATATTTACCGGAGAGCACTGCCAATAAAAAGGAGGAGAGGAAGAAGTGTTGAAGAAAACAGGTCGAGCTGTGATGCAGGGCCGACATGGCCTTGGTTAACCTATCTTTTGGGGGCTCTGGAGGAGTTCTGTATATCAGTGTCCCCTGTTGGGCCCAAATCACCAAGCCTATAGACCCTGCAGGCTGCCTCAGGAACAAAACCTTAGACAAACCACTCTCTGCAGCTGAGTCTACCCTGAAATGTGGACACCTGGAGTTTAGCTGCAGACTGTCCTCCCTGTAGCCAAAAAGCAAGACCTTCCTTGAAGAGGAATGTACGTGGTGCCTCTACACCTCTACTCTACTCATCCACCTCTCTGATTTCATCCCTGTTCCCACTGTCACTTCCAGAACCCTAGCCTTCCCCTATCACTCCACTTGCAGATCTTTAAAACCTCTTGGTTTCTACTCCTATGCCTTTACTTTACCCCACCCTGGGGTGCCACTCCTCTGTCTCTCCCAGCAAACTCAGTCTTCGTCTCCAGTACTCCAGATCTCATCTTTTTAGGAAAGCTTTGCTGACCTCCTGTCTATTTCTTCTCTGTATTCAGTACCTTGTAACACCATCATTGCAATGCTTATTACACATGACCACATCAGCTTCTCACTGGACCCAGAATTGCCCTGAAAAGGGACTTTGAATTCAAACTCTGTGGCATCTGTGCCTAGTCTGATGTCTGGCCCATAGAGGCAATTACTAAATATTGATGATGGACTGGCTGAAATATACAGAAGGAAGCAAAAGGAGCCTTCTGATGTCAAGAGAGGGAACATTTGATTCGATCATAGTAGAACTCAAACTCGAATTAAGTATTATCCTCTTCCATTTGGCCTTAGACCAGCCAGATCCAGTGACCTATAAAATCTAGCTTTAACAGAACACCTTCTCAAGAAGCTGATAACCCCAACAGGAATGCTTCAAAGACAAACAAGGAAGAAGTGTAACTTAGACAGGAGCAACTTACCCATGGGACGTATTGTGTAAACCAGACT